CGGGAGGAGGAGGAGAACCGCAGGCGCGCGGAGGACGAGGCCCGTAAGAAGAAGGCCCTTTCCAACATGATGCACTTCGGGGGCTACATCCAGAAGGTGGGCGGGGCATCTGGGAGGTGGGCGGGGCAGCAGGCCAGAGTGGGCGGGGCAATGTGCCCAAAAGGTGGGCAGGACAGCACATCCAGAAGGTGGTCGGGGCAGCACGAAGGTGGGCGGGGCAGCGGTGGTCCTGGGGGCTGAGGGATCTGAGGGACCAGGGGTCCAGGGGGAACCTCCCAGCGGCTGTGGGTGAGACTGCAGCCTCCAGCCCTCCAGCCCCTCAGGTGGTGACTTCCCTGGGAGGGTCCTGCTGGGATGGGGCTGTGGGCGAGCCTGGGATAGCTGGCTGCCCCTCTCTGTCCCCCTTCATCCCCTCCCAGGAGCCTCCCCCCCACCCCCCGGCCCACGCGGGCTGGACACAGCGGGCAGAGCCCTGTACCCAGACTCAGAGCTCCAGCTGGAGGCTCTGGTTGGAGACAGCTGTGTGGGGCCTCAGTTTCCTCGTCTGTAAAATGGGCTTAATATGGTCTGCCCGCCTGCTCGGAGGTCAAGGGGGTCCACCCCGGGGAGGTGGCTTATTCCTGGAAGCTCGCCCTCGATGCCTGACCTCCACGCCCCACGCCCGCTGGACGCCCGTCCTCATGGGAGGAGGGCAATGGCCAACAGGACTGTCTCGGTCCCCAGCTCAGAACCAGGCCAGCCTCCCCGCTCGGCCCCGCAGTGACCACGCGGCCGAACTCTGGCTGCCCTCCCCCCGCCTCCGTCCTGGTGACCGAGGTCGCCCCCAGGGGGCGCGTCTGAGTCACCTTCTCCTTGTCCCCCGTCTCTCTCTCTGCCTGGTCCTCCGTCCGCCCTCCGCCTCCTGCCTGCCCTCTCTCTGTCTCTGTCCCATCTTCTCCGCCTTTCTCTCTGGGTCTGTCTGTCATGGTTCCCTGGTTTAGCAGGCGCAGGTGGGTACCAAACCTCCTCTGAGTTTTGGGGGCTCCCTGGAGGGAGGGTCATGGCGATGGGACTGGGTGGGCGGCCAAGGAAGACGGGCCTCAGTTTCCCCGGGGGATCCGGGCAGCGATGGGCCGGGTGTTGTGGGAAGAGGATGAGCAACTGGTGCCCCCTGGGTTTGGGTTTGGGTTTTGGGGGGTGGGGGGGGCTGGGGAAAAAGGGGGAGGGGGTGCCCTCTAGCGAACGCCCCGTCCCCTGCTTGCCACCCCCTCCAGACGGAGCGGAAAAGCGGGAAGAGGCAGACGGAGCGGGAGAAGAAGAAGAAGATCCTGGCCGAGAGGAGGAAGGTGCTGGCCATCGACCACCTGAACGAAGATCAGCTGAGGTGGGCAGGGCCCGGG